GTCAGTGCCCCCAGCCCCGCTGCCAGGCCCAGCCCAGGCCTTTGGGCTCTGTGGCTCACAGCACTTTATCACTCACAGCTCTGAGCAACCAGCACACGCCAGTATTGGAAACTGGGCTCACAGCCCAGCCCCTTCTGCTTCCCCATGGATTTTGCACTGGACCTCGCCATCTAAAAACCTTTTTTTGGTTGTTTTTTAACAGGCATTTCAGTCCCTTTTTCATTGCTGCCTTTGCGCTTTGAGCTCCGGAAGGTCAGGCCATGACTCAGCCTCATGCACTGTCACTGAACTTGGGGAAAGAAAATCCAACACAATAACTTTTCTAAGCCATATATTTCATATCCATGTTTTCCAAAATAATTTATTTCCAACCCTGTCATACTCTGAGAGTGCACAAGGGCACCGTGAGGGTGTTCAGATGTGTTAAGAGGGGGCTTTTCATGGAACCTTTTTTTGTAACAGAACACAAGGTTGTGGTGGGGTTTTTTTAAAAGAGTTTTGCACATGTGTAGCTGAGGAAGAACAGTATGTCCAAACCTTGAGTGCAATCACCAGGATTCATTTCCCAGGTTGTTTGGGGGGTTGGGGGAGGGAGGATGGGAATATCTGTAATTATAGATATTTGAAGGCAGCCAGCTGAGAGTTTACAAAACATTTTGTGTAGCATGAACACGGGAATTTCAGTTTGGGCCGGGATTTCTGGTCCTGACCAGTGGCCTGGGGTGGCCAATTCAGGCTGCCAAGGAAGAGCCTGATTTTTGGGGGCCCAGCCCTGTGCTGAAAATCAGGTGCCTGGGCAGGGTCTGGGGTGGGGACCTGGGGGTGGTTTTTTCACCTGCGGAAACTCGCGGCCCCTCTCTCGCAACTTCCAGACTTAAAATGTAACTAAACACAAATGGTTTGGTTTTTGTTGGGGTTTTTTTGCTTTTTTTTTTTTTGGTTTTTTTTCTTCTAAATTTTATTGTATTATTGCAATAAATCTTTAACAGTAATTTTTTTAAAGTTGTATATTTATGACTGTTATTTCTGTGTGGTTTGTTTTTCACCGTGCTGGGCAAAGAACACAAGAATTTCCAGCCTTCAAAGCATCACAGGGACCAGACCTGTTACAGTGCAATCAGTTGTACAGCGGTGGAATAAGCAATACCCATTCTAAAAAAATACTCTTACATAAAATAACTGCATCTCCATGGGAGCAGGGGGTGGAGTCCTGCACTACACACACACACACACACACACACATCCCTCTATGTACATGTAAACGGATAAACCTCTTGGGTGAGCCTGGCTCGGGGCTGCTCCTGTGCTGGGGGATGTTTCTGCAGGTGCTGGATTCCTTCTGAATGCAAAGGCTCCTTGTTACAGGCTCGTTTTGGGATGCAAGAAGGTGACTTTTGAAGGATGGAGTTATTGAAGTGGTGTCAGAGCAGCAGGGAGGGCTCTGCCCACGGGCCCTGGCAGCCCATGGGTCACAGGCTGCTGGACCATGGGGAGAGATAACCCCTCCCACTGCATTTTTGTGATGTATCAGATGGGAAGGAGCGATGGCCCTGCGATTCCTGGCTGTTGGACACTCGGGATTGGGAGCAGCAGCCACCTGGGGCTCCTGCACTCAGAGCTGGGGCAGTTCATGGCCTCGGTCACAGCACAGTCGGGTCATGGCCAGCGGCAGAACAAAGTCTGGGCTGAGCTCAGCTCGTGCAGACAATGCTCAGGCCACTTCTGCTTAAACAGGACCAGCAGCAGCAGCTTTTGGCCTCTGCCCACTGTGGTTTGTGGCAAAAGAGCAGCCTGATAATGCCCTCACCTGTCCCTACACCAGCACTGCCTGGACCAGCCAAAGGCAGGTGGGAAGGAGAAACAGCCCCGGGTGAGGCTTCAGCACCATTTCCACGTGCAAGAAATGGGAGTGGAGACACAGCTTGGATGTGTCAGTGCAGTTTTGTGCAGGTGTGAAATCCTGGAATGGTTTGGATTGGAAGAGACCTAAAGATCACCTCATTCCACCCCTGCCATGCCCAGGGACACCTTCCACCATCCCAGGCTGCTCCAAGCCCTGTCCAGCCTGGCCTTGGACACTTCCAGGGATCCAGGGGCAGCCACAGCTGCTCTGGGCACCCTGTGCCAGGGCCTGCCCACCCTCACAGGGCAGAATTCCTTCCCAGTATCCCATCCATCCCTGCCCTCTGGCACTGGGAGCCATTCCCTGTGTCCTGTCCCTCCATCCCTTGTCCCCAGTTCCTCTCCAGCTCTCCTGGAGCCCCTTCAGGCCCTGCAAGGGGCTCTGAGCTCTCCCTGGAGCCTTCTCCTCTCCAGGGGAACATTCCCAGCTCTCCCAGCCTGGCTCCAGAGCAGAGGGGCTCCAGCCCTTGGAGCTTTTCCGTGGCTTTACCAACTCCAGGGCACAGGGCACAGGGGCAGATGCTGCAGGAAGGGACCTGGGTCCAACACAAGGAACTGAACTCTGCTGCAGCATCCCAGGATTTCTCCACAGGGAACAGGGCCCAGCAAAGGCAAAAGCTGCTGCAGAACCAGCCAGGATGGAGCAAGAACCCAACCACAAGGCTCAGCCACAGGCAGCTTTCTCAGTGCTGGCCATGCCAGGAGAGCCCCAGAGCTTGATGAGAACTGGAGGCTTATGGACAATGGAAATGTTATTACAACAACTTTGCAGGCCTATCTGGAAATTCACTCCAGACACTCCAAATGCTCCCAGGCAGGGAAGTCAAGCACATGGTGCAGTTCTTCATCCTCAGTTCTAAACACTGAACTTTGTAAATCCAACACTGGATTTTATTTTTTTTTTTAATTGCTTCTTAGGAAGAAAAACCAAAACCCTAACACATCCATCAGACCTTGGCTTCTCCCTGAACCATCCCTTAAGGAAACAGAAATCTGCATTTTACAACGTTACAGGGAAAAAAAAAAAAAAAGCCTGCAGGCAGCTCAGCATGGCAACATTCAGAACCAACCCACTTCTGGCTGCAAAAGCTTGCTCCATGAAACAATTTTGAACAGCAATGCTGTGCAGGAGGGACAGTTCCGGCAGACAACGTAATAAATGATGTATAAACCTGCCCACACTCCCCAGCCAGCCTGGGGGAGGGCAGAGATGGGGTAGGGTAGATAGCAAGTTGTCCTCTGGATTTACCTGCTCCAAGAACAAAATAGCCTCATGGTATTATTTTATCCTCTTTTTTTCCCTTGTTCAACAAAATCTCATACCCTGTTCCAAATAAAATGACCTCACTGGCCCCTTATCTAATTACAAAATATTTTCCTCTGCCACTCCATTCCAGCCTCACAGGGACTTTCCTCGCTGCTGTCAGCCTCAAGTTTTCCACAGTCTTGGGTGGGGGGGGCAGGAAAGCAGCTTCTTTTCCTTTTCCCCTAATCAAAATTAAGCTGAAGGCCTTTGATGCCGATGGCTTTGGCAAAACAACAGCCTGGAGGTTGTTTTGCTGCTGGAGGGAGCAGATGGAAGTTTGGGTGAAGCCTGCACCCTGTTAGATAGAGGATGAAGTCAGGGATTAAGGAGGGATCTCGCTTTTCCTCTCCCTCTTCCCAGCCGATTACAAGGCAGCCGCACCCTTCTTTCAGATTCCCAATTTCATTCCTCCTGCTTGTCATCATGTCTGCAGTGCAGGGAGGCTGAGCAGCTCTGGGAGGGGTGGCTGACACCCGGTGGGTGGCAGGAGCAGGTGAAAGCAAAATATAAAACCAGCACATCCTTTAAACCTCCCTGAAAAGCCTGAGCTCACCAAACCCACATTTCAGGCTGCCAGGGCTCGATTTTCCTTCTCCCACTGTTAAAGAACAAAAGCCTTCAAAACCCTCTTTTGTCCTCCTGACGCTCCAAAACCAGGTGAGTCACTCCCTGGGAGCCCGGGGCAGGTGGAGGTGGGTGGCTCAGCCTGGCCCCCACAGGCAGCAGTTTTCCACACCTTGCTGATCCAGCACCGAAGGATAGAGAACACCATGAGCCAGGCACAGGGCCACCCCATCCCTGCCCTTTCCAGCGGCTCCCTGGGCTTGGCAGGGCAGAGGAAGGCCCGAGGTGAGCCCCATGGGAAGGTGGCACCAGCTCTTCTTGCACAAGGTCAGAGATTTTGGCTGCTCCAGCTGGAATGGTGAGAGCCAGGAGTCCATCCGTGCCCTGAGAAGGGGCAGAGGAACAGCAACAGCAGCAAGTGGGGGAGAGAAAGACGTGGCCAGGGCAAAGGCACGGCTGCCCCGCTCCGTTGGGCTCCCTGGAAAGCGGCTGCTGCTCCCCTGACGGAGCTGGATGCGGCTGCTGGACTGAACAAGGTGCATTCCCAGGCTTCCAAACCATCCACCCTGCGAGGGCTGTACCGGGAGGCTGAGGTCTGGCTCACAGCATGGCAGGGCAGGAATGGATCCAGGGAAATTCTGCCACGGATTCCGCGCTCCGCTCCCGTCCCGAGCGCGAGGAATCGCCGTTGATCCGGCACAAACCTCTGCGATTCCCCTGGAAAGCAGCGAGCCACAGCACTGGCAGGAGAGGCCAAGGGCAGCAGCACAGCAGGGCAAAGCACTGCAAGGATTCTTCTTGCAAGGGAAAACTCCATACAGAGCAGATAGGAAAGCTTCTGGCACACCACAGAGCCAAGGCAACGCCACACTGATCCTGCTGAACCCACACTCCATCCTTGAGCATCCAGGGAATGGGGCAGGTGCCCACACAAGAGCCAAGAAGCAGGAGGAAGTTTTTGCAAGCTTTACACACCTAGCACCAGAATTCCCGATGAAAGGAGCCTCTGCTGCACCCAGGGCTGGCAGGAAGGAAAGGAAAAGCTGGAATCTGTGACTCTGACAGCAGGGAGTTCTCCAAGTACTAGAGCTGGGGGTTTTTGTTTCTTTGTTAGCAGGACAGGTTTGCTAGAGAAAGCACATTGCACGTCTGAACTACAGCACAGCACCAAGTTTCTGCCACGTGTTTTACAGCATTTTTATTTTGGGGCAAAAGTCTTACAAGAGAATGTCTGGTAAGGCAGATCTAGAATGCACATTTTATTTATGTAAAAAAAAAAAGAACCAAAAAAAAAAAACCCAACCAGACAACATGGGTAAGGTAGACAAGAACTTTTTTTTTTTATATTCTGACTATACAATAATATTCCTCTTTTTTTTTTTTTTAATCCACTGCCACGCTAATATAATGGATCTGCTCTATAGTTTAAAGTTTGTTGTCCAGTTAAGTTGTCTGCAGCTTCTTTAAACAAGTTGACCTTTACCTATTTAGAGTTTCTTCTCAGAAACATTCATATATTATACAGGATATACAGATTTTGAAACAAGACACTTAAAAACACACACACCTATAGCCGCAACACTGGGATAGCTGCATTGTAGGGGTTACCTTGTTCAGCCAGCTGTAGACTCTGTATGTACAATTAGTTTTTATAGTGTTATTTACAGAGATGGACTAAAAGCTCTCTTTTAATCTAAAAGGTAAAGGCTCTTGTGTTTGAGTATGTGCAGTTTCATAGCCCTGTGGGGAAAAAAAAAAAAAATCACGACAATTATATACACTGTAAACAGCACAAGGCATGAGAATCTCCTCCTCCTATCCCAAACAATCTTGCAGGAAAGTGTTTGTGCACTAATATTCCTCTTCCACCTCTGCTCCAGCTCCTCTGGTTTTCTTATGGATCGCGCGGTTAAAGCTGTGGCAGGCAGGGACCCAGTGATTGTCATGGAGACCCAGCTTACAGCCCGGGATGCCCTTCTGGGAGCGGTGGCAGCACATCCAGTAGCCAGGCCCATAGGGCAGGGCCTGGCAGTAGGGCTTGGGGTGCCACCGGCACAGGGACACGTCCCCCTTCACGTATTTCTTCTTGCACTGCTTGCAGGGGTCTTCCCGGTAGCGAGGGTCGCGCACCCAGCGCGAGTCCGCCGGCCTGATGTTGTAGTACTCGATGATGAATTTGAAGTAGTAGCATGTGCATTTTAGGGCAACCAGGCTCCTGGTGGGAAGCAAGCCAAAGATCTTCACGATGATGTGGTGAGGCAAGAAGGCCATGTACTGCTGAGGCTCCAAAAGCTGCTGGATTTTAAACCTGGTTTCCAGAAAGTCATGTGAAACCTGCCGCTTTAGGCAGGAAGCATCAAGTACTTGCAAAGCCCCTTCTGTGGGAGGGACAGAAGGGGCCGATGGCTCTGTAGGGACACTGCTTCTGACACACGATCTGGCAGATGCCAGAGCATCCTCATCCTCGTTTGGGGCTACTTCCCCTGGCTTCTCCTGGATACTCTCCCGCCGTGGCTGTTGCTCGTGAGCAGCAGGCTGCTCACCCTGGAGGAAAAACAGCCTCCCTGGGAGTGAATCCTCACCAGAACTGGAGAGCTTCTCCTTCCTGCACCCTTCCTCTGTCTTGGTGACTGATATACTGATGCATAAGGGCTCCTTCCTAGCAGGATGCTTTGGGAAAATTACAGGCTCTTTCGACATATCAACAGTCGCATTCTTGCTCTGCAAGGGATCCGCTGGCAGCCTGGCAGCAGCTGGACACGGGGACAGCAGAGCCCTGGGAGGCTCAATCCGCGTTTCAGTGTCATTCCTGCCAGCTGTCATCGCCAACACCGCGTGGGCAAGTCCCGAATTCACATTCCCCACCCGGGTATCCAGCCCCGAAGGAAACGGCTGCCGAGCAGAGGCGCCGCCATCCCACAGCTCAGTGGCGCCCAGAGGGCCGCAGCGACCTCCGTAGCCAGCCTCTGCCACCCCTGCCTCCCCCAGGCCGCCCCCCTGAGCCGGGACCCCCTTCCCCCCGTCTCCCTCGGGCTGGGTGCCGCTGGCCAGGAGCACCCTGCCGACGTTCCTGCGGAAGCTGTTGTTGCGGGAGAGGCTCCCGGCCTCGCGCTCGCTCTGCCGCCTCAGGCACTCGGACTCCAG